CCATAGCCATTAGCCACACCTGGAATTTTTTTTATTTAAGCCAAATAAAGTTTTAAATTCAGCTCTTCACTCTTATTAGTCATATTCAAGGGCTCAGCAATCCCATGTGGCTAGTGGTGACCTTACCAGACAGCACAGATCTAGAACATTCCATCACCACACAAAGCTCTACTGCAGAGGTGCTCTGGAGAGAGTAGGTGCGAGAGGAAGCCAGGACACAGCTGACAAAAGCCACGCAGTCAGCGCCTGACTCAACAAGGAGTAGGCATTCCAGACTAGGAGGCCACAGTGGGACCCTCCCCAACAGGGCGCCAGCACCCAGCAGCCAGCCATGTGCTCCCAGGTAGGTACATCCACCCAGAAGACAACTTTGAAAAATACCAAACCAAGGACAAGAGCACTTTCATAGTAAAAACAAGGGGCAAAATAAATGCAAGAACATCTTCCACAAGCAAAACAAAGGACCACTCCTGGAAACTTAACATCCAATTCACAGGGACAGAGAAAGCAGAAGCAGAGAAATGACCAATAACACACCAGAAGTCCCCTGTGCCGAAGGATGTAAGTCTTCAGGCTAAAATTGTAAAGTTAATGCCCAGCATAAGAGGAAAAGCCCAGAGCAAGTCACACTCTTATAGGACATCAGCTTCTAGAAACTTCCAGTAGCAAAGAAGTCTCCTGAAAAAGAAACTTGGACTTGGTAACAGTGGATAAGGGAACCATGCCTTCCATCTTCAACCAGACAAGCTATCAACCAAGTATGAAAAAGTATTTACTCTGCCTGAGACAGGTGAGAATTCAGAAACCTTACCTTCTACAAAACCTGGCTACCTGAGGAAGAAAAAAAGAGCACACACCGCACCGCCCACTTTTTAAAAGGCACATACATGGATGCTAAAAGCTAACCCCTAGACATGGTAACATGTCTGGAGTTTCAAGAGCCCTGTGGGGCAGGCAGTGCTAATAATCCCCATTTTTCCCATGAGGAAACCAGGGCCAGAGCAGCTGAGTGGTGGCGCTGGGATGCAAATCCAGGCAGCCCGGCCTGGGGCTCCTGCACCCAACCCCCACCCTGTGCTGCCTTTCAATTTAAGTTACTATTGCTACCTTCCTCCTTCCTAAGTTCGCTGCCTGGAGTGTTACTTTTGCAGACAGAAAAAAGAAAAAAAATATCAGTTATCAGTATGAAATGGGTCAAAAATAAACAATGAGAAACTAAAGAAAGAAAAAAAAGCCACTCCCCTAAACTAAGTTAAGGAAACCTGAGCCTCACTGTCTCCATCTACAGAACAGAGCCGACCGCAGATCACGCAGATCACGCATTTACACAGCATCCTCAGGTGCTGGGAGGAGTAAATGGTGACCCCATAAAGCACTCGATTTTAACAAAATGTGCCTGAAAAACAAACAGATAAAAATACACACGATGTGGGCGCCTGGGTGGCTCAGTGGGTTGAGCCTCTGCCTTCGGCTCAGGTCATGATCTCAGGGTCCGGGATCGAGCCCCACATCGGGCTCTCTGCTCAGCGGTGAGCCTGCTTCCTCCTCTCTCTCTGCCTGCCTCTCTGCCTAGTTGTGATCTCTGCCTGTCAAATAAATAAATTCTTAAAAAAAAAAATACACACGATGAGCAAAAAAGAGGCTCTTAAGTAACAGCAAGGGAGAAAGACGCTCCAAGACATCTGCCCACAGCCCAGAGCGACACTGCGAACTCCCAGGACCACCCCAGTCCGCTAGCATTAATTAGTCCTGCTCACCAGCCAGGTCAGGCCACTTCATCCTGACGCCCTCTGCTGGCAAACACGCACGCACGCACGCACGCACGCACCACACACCAAGGCCTTTGTGATCCTCCTGATCCATCATCAGCCTCTGTTCTTACCAAGGTGTGGGTCCAAGAGATGAGGCTGCTCCTGGTATGTGTCCATGATTACTAAAAAGAAAGACAAGGGAACTGACATCGCCCCGCCCGCAGGCACACAAGCCCCAGGAACCCTCAATCCCCGCGCCCCCAGCGAACTGCTATGGTGCTGCTCTTCAGAGCACGGGTCACCTGGGCAGCCCCCACCGCCGCCGCTGCTGGCCCCCAGCCCTCCGCTTGCTCGGCACACCTTCCTCTCCCACCACCCGTCAATCCTCCCACCCCCTTCCTCCTCCCTCGCAGAGCACACTAAGCACCGTGCCCTCCGCGGGCCCAGCCCCCCGGAGCACACGCTCCTCCATCCCAGGCAGCCTGGTTTCCACCCCTTCCAGCAGCCGGCGGGGCTCCGTTCAGATCCGGGGGCCACGCCGCCTGCGGCAGGTGTTCCGGGCCACACACAGCCACACCTGCCAGCTTCCCGGGAACGGGAAGCCGGGCTCTCCCCGGAGACGCCCCTCACCCCACAACAGTTCTGTGCACAGGACACAGGCTTGCCACCCCCCGTCCACAACCAAGGGAACAGACTCCGAAGGGCAACGAAGCTCCGGGCTCAAGGGGCGAGTGCGCATCACCCCTGCGGTGTGTCTGCAAAGCCCGCGCCGCGTCCAGCCAGCCGCCACCGTGCCCGTCCCTGAAGTCAGAGGGCCGGCCCCGCAAACCCGGGAAGGCAAAACTCGGCGGAAATTTCCTCAGCAGAAGGGCCCGCGAAGACGGCTTTACTGAGTCACAACACGCTTCCGCTCCCACCCTGGGATCCCGGGAGTCGCCGTCTCATCCGTCATCAGAGACGAGTGCCCAGGGCGCCGCCCGCCGCTGGCTCTCCGGGGCTGGACACCAGGAGCCTGTCCTGCGCGCTCCCCGCCGGACCCCGCGGGGCGCAGGCCGAAGGGGGCCGTCCCCGGACCGCACGGACATCTGCTCCCCCGCCCTCCCGCGCCTTTGTCTGCGGCACGCGGGTGCGCGACGGCTCCTCCTCTCGCCGCCGCCGGGTCCGCACAGCCGTCTCCGCGGGCACTCCGAGGACTCCGGGCCGCCCCGCAGAGGTCCACACCACGGCCCTCACGCCCAGCCCTCCACACCCCTCCTCCAACGGCAGCGGAGAGGGAGCGCCCGCCGCCCCGCCGCCCCCGCGAGCGCACGGCTCCCACAGGGGCGCGCCAGGTGCGAGCTGCAGCCAGACAGCGCGTACACACGGCAACCCGGCCGGGGCCCCGCGCGCACCTCGGAACCGCTCCAGGGCGCCCTCCTGGGCCGCCCGGTCGCCGAGCACCGCCCGCAGGCGGCCGAGCAGCGCGCGGATCTCCGCGCTCTCGCCGAACGCCTCCAGGGCGCCGCCGTGGGCCAGCGCCTCCTCCTCCGCCCCGTCCTCCGGCGCGCCCGCGGCCGGCTCCTCGCCCAGGGCCATCCTTGGCGTCCCGGACTGCTCCCGTGGGCTCGAAGCCCGGCTACGCGCAAGCACGGGATGAGAAACGCGGGCGGTTGCCGGCTGAGGGACGACGGCTGAAGCAGAGGCGGTGGCGACCGACGCTGGCCCCGCCCCACGACCTCCGACCTCGCGCCTCGGACCCGCTACGGAGCGCGCCGGCAGCCAAAAGAGCGAGCACAGAGGCGGGGCCGAGCCCCCGAAGGGCGGGGCCGAGTCCCGGAGGGCGGGGCCCGGGTAAAAGGAGAAGACAAGGCGAAGACTGCGGCGCGGGCTGGGGGCGGGGCCCACCAGCCGGCGGGGTGGGGCTCTGAGCTCGCGGATAGAGCCCAGGAGGGGTGTGGAACTGAGCCCGTGAGGGACGGGGCGGGGGTCTGAGCTCGTGGGTGGGGTGGGGCGGGGACAGAGCCTGAGGGCGGGAGAGGGGGAGGGACGGAGTCTGTTGGGGGTGGGTTGGGGCAGTGTCTGAGCCTGGGGGTGGGGTCTGAGCTCTGGGCGGGGGCCTGTGAGTGGGTCTCAGTTGGGGAGGGGTCTGAGCCTGTTGTGGGGGACGGGTCTGAGCCCCGGGTCGGTGGGCTGAGGGGGGAAGTGGCCCGCGCTGGGAGCGGAGTCGCAGCCAGAGTCGCAGGAGGAGACCCACACCCCCGCCGGTCTACCCCCGCCTGCCCGCACACGCGAGCTGCTTCGCCAGGAGAGAGACCCAGGCCCCGAGCCCCGCCCCCCACACCCCGTCCCCTACCCCACCCCTACACACCCCTGCCCCCCTACCCCCCCACATGCAGGAGCTGCTGCGCCGGTGGCACCTTCACAACATGGGTTCTGAGACAATGGCAGTTTCTGGTTTGAAAGGCCCAATGTCTGGAAGGATGCGTCTGGGGTGTTCGTTCTTTCTAGAAGTCAACAGGCTCACCCGTCCCGGTGGGACCAGCCTCCTGACGGGAGGCCCACTGGATAGTCACACCCTCAGAAAAGAGAGATTTGGGCACCGCTACCCCGCGAAATTGGAAATTTTGCAAGAAGTAATAAAGGCGTGGCCACGTCTTCAGGGACGCAGTGTGGACGGCCAGCGCCCCAGAGACCCCGCCCCAATGCCACCTGCTCCAGCCCCCCTTCAAGGATGTCAGCCCTGATATCCCCAACCAACCGGCCAAACCGGCCACCTGAGCGCAGTGGACACCCCTGACACCCCAGTGGGCACACCCCACTACCCGAGATTCTCCCCCCACCCTCACCCTCTTGTCATCCAGCCACCAACACACCAGGTGAAGAACGGGGAGCTGAGCACACGGTTGGTAGCCGCAGCCCGGATATTGAGGACCTCTGCTCCGCAAGGGCGGACTCACAGATCCATTCAGCCCCAGAGAGGTGGCTCCAGAGGTGAGACCCATCTCCTGGTCCCCAATTCTGTCTGACCCCGAGTCCACAGGGATGCGTGACCCCAACTTCCTCCTACACAAATCCCAGAGCTGTGTGATTTCTGCAATAGTTACCATGAAAATATCCGAATTCCCCCAGATCACCGTACGTAATGAGCCTGTTGGGAACCTGTCAGGTGCCCTGGGCCCCCTGTCCATTAGCCCAACTGCAAGGAGGGTAGAGGCACAGACAACTCACACCGTGGTCCCTGAACCCCTGACTTTATTCGTCCCCGAAGCCATCTCTGGTGCTGCCACCCTCCCTCATCTGCAAAGCAAGGCGACAGGGGTACAGGTTGGGGACTACTGCAGAAGCTTCCGCATGGTGCCCAGGGACGGGCTCCTGTACCCCTGCCCAAAGTGGTTCCAGTGGTTTAGGTAGTTAAAGAGCTGGTACAGCAGCAGCCGCTTGTCGAACCCCGGAGCCTTGGGGATCTTCCGGTGGTAGGCCGTGAAGAAGGACCTGGGAAACCCCCCAAACATCAAAGCAATTGCCAGTTCAAACTCAGAATGTCCATAGAAGGAAGCTGGGTCATAAACAATGGGCCCCGAGTCATCCTCAGCCACGTTTCCCGACCAGAGATCTCCATGAAGAAGGGCGGGGACGATCTCTAGACCATGAAACAGATCTGGGATCTTCACCTAAGAAAAATAATGATTGCACACAGAGTTACCTCGGGACTATGAGCCACGGCTGCCTCATCCAATACTTGGAAATAAGGCAAAGATGACCTCATGTTTCTTCAGGGTCCAACCACAGCCTGGTCTGGGAAGCCCAGGAATGAGGATCCCTGAGTCCAGCAGAACACCTTATCTTACTCTTACAAATTTAGGTCTGGGCGCTCCACAGCCCTAAGGATGTTCACTCAGTAGAGACCTCAGGGGATGTGACCCAACAGGTTACCAGCCGAATAACTTGAGTGGAGGGGTTTTCAGACACCTCAGCAACCTTTCTCTACTGCCCCTTCACTTCTCAGCACACCCGGGCCTACTCCTCCTAGTAATACGGGCCACTTCATTAGTAAGTCAAATAAAATGTCCCGCTGCATGTTCACCCTGGATTGGCATGAAAATTCTGTTCTTCACATTCAGAGAGTTACATTCTCAAACTAGTCACTCCGGGGCATCTGCTGCCCACATCTCTTAAGAGGTGAGACATTCCTGCTTTGAGAAAGAACAGGGTAAGAGTGGGTAAGAAAGCAATAGTAAATGCCACTGTTTATGAGCCAAGCTCCTAAACATGAGCAAAGCCTGAGGCTAAGTGCTTGGTGACCGAGCCCATGAGACTTGCACTCAGGGGCCAAGTATGTCCTCGGGTTCCCCATCAGGCCAATAGTCAGGCACTGATGTGTCCACACTTGACCAGCTCTGCTCCCGGGCTCCACTCTACCAGAGGACCCCACACAAATGCGATGGGCTCAGAAAAGGACAGCCCCTGTCCCCAAGAGTAACGTCTGCACCCACCTGTAGCTGTGACCAGAGTTCTCGTGCCTCTCGGTCAGCATAGTCCTTTTCGATGAGATCCAACTGCGCCTGGAGACGGTGCCGAGCAAAGAAGGTTGGCCAGTCCTCCTGCCACTCGTTCACCTGGACGACAAGATGGGGCTGGGCTGCAGCTCTGCAAGGCGACTGCCCACACCCAGGCACAACCACGAACAGACACAGCAAACACTACAGCTTGCCGACAGAGGAGATAGGATGGAGACATGAAAACTACTCAGTCCGAAAGAGTGCAGAGAAACAGGAAAAAGGGAAACAAAGAACAGATGGGACACCTAGAAAACAAAGACCAAGACAGATTCGCCCTAACCATATCAATAAGCGAATTACACGCAAGGGGTCTAAGTACCCCAGTTAAAAGACTAATTCCAAGCTGTGTACGAGACATGCCCTTTACATATAATGTCAGAAATAGGTTAAAGGGATAGAAAAGATACGCCATGCTAGCACTGGTCAAAAGAAAGCTGGAACGGCCGTACTAGTGTCAGACAGTAGATTTCAGAGATGAGAAGAACATAAAAATAAGGAAAGTCAGGGGTGCCTGGGTGGCTCAGTGGGTTAAGCCTCTGCCTTCGGCTCAGGTCATGATCCCAGGGTCCTGGGATCGAGCCCCACATCAGGCTCTCTGCTCGGTGGGGCGCCTGTTTCCCCGCCCCCTCTGCCTGCCTCTCTGTCTGCTTGTGATCTCTCTCTCTCTGTCAAATAAATAAGTAAAATCTTTGAAAAAAAAAATTGAAAGCAGGCGGGGAGGTCCTTTCCCCAAACAGCCTGAGGCATATGGGATGGCAGCTCCTCCCTCCCCATCTGTCTGCACAGGCCCCCTCTCCCTGTCCAAGGCTCCATCTCCCTTCTGGATGGCCAGGGTATAAAAGACACAAACTGAGTATCAGGAGCTGGACACCAGCATTGGCCAGCCTGGTCCCTCCTCCTGGACAGAGGGACTGTGATCCCCTCACCCAGAAAGGGCAGGACTTGGGCCTGAGCTGCCAAAGGCAGGGCCACCTGAGAGCACCTCTGGTGGGAGCCAGCCTTCACCTTGACAGAGGGGCAAGGCAGTGAGGGGGTTGGGCCCACACTCTGAAGCCAGGCTGTGGGTCAAATCCTGGCCCCCCACTCGCTAGCCGCATGGCCTCCCTGTCCCGCTTGGCTTCTCGGTGCTTCTGTTTTCTCATCTATAAAAAGAGTCAAATGACAACACCCACCTCCTAAGGTTGCTACGGCAACTGGGGGACTGGTGTTGGATAAAGCACTTAGAGATGTGCCCAGGGAGTGGCGTGCACGAAATGCCAGTGGTCCCAAAGGGGCTGAGCACACAGCTGTCTGAGAAGCCCACTGCCACCGCGCAGGGTTGCCCCACCAATGGCTGCAGGCCCCGAAGGCCCACGCATCCCTCCCAAGGAGCAGGACCCTCCTGGAACTTCTGGGCTAGTCCAGGCACTCCATGCAGGACCATCTGTCCTAGCTTAAGGTGGACTAAGTGTCCACCCAGGTCCCTCACCCCTTTCTGGCCAGCTGAAGCTGAGCTAAATAGGTTCATTGGTTCTGGAGTCTAAAGGGGCACATGGAGGCAATTTGGGTCCCTAATGGACCAGCCCCATTTTCACCAACTTCACAGATTGGGGTTTTGTGTGTGATTTCATTCCTTGGTTCTTGAAAAGTCACTGTGCAAGGTCAAGTGGGGCTTTGGGGAGCCCACAGCTCTTAACTCAACATCTGAAGCAGGACACCAAGCCCCATCCAGCCACTCTGGCCCCGGCTCCAGGCAGACGTGTAACCTGGGGGAGCTGGCTTCAGCAGAGGCTTATGGAGCCCTAACAAATCTGGGAAAGCACTGTGTGGACAGAGCCTGAGGGACCCCGGATGAGAGGCCCGCCCGTGGGCCAGGGGACCCCAGATGCAAGGGCTGCCCAGTGGCTGAGAGCCCTAAGTCTGGCTCAGGCTTCATAAGGATGTCACCCCAAGGACCACCCACCTTGGAGACTTGCCCTCTGCCCACACAGGAGACAGGGAGGGACCAAAGGCTAACTAGTACAGGCTTCCTTGTACACGAAATGCATAGAATGGGCAAATCCATAGAGACGGGAAGGGGTGACCTGTTACCAGGGCCGGAGGCAGGGGACTGGGGAGTGACTGCTAACTGGTAAATGCTTTCTCCTGGGGGTGAGGAAGATGTGCGGTAATCAGACAGTGGCGATGGCTGCACAACTCGGGGATATACTAAAAACCACAGAATTGTATGCGTTTCTCTGGGTTTTTTGTTTGTTTTTTTATAAGTAGGCTGCATGCCCAGTGTGGAACCCAATACAGGACTTGAACTTGTGACCCTGAGATCAAGACCTGAGCTGAGATCAAGAGTCAGATGGTTAACCTACTGAGCTGCCCAGACGTCCCCATACACTTTGAAATAACGGAGTTTGTGTCACGAGAACTACAACGTCCCCGAGTGGGGGACCAGGACCTGATCCCTGACTGGAGCGCTGCCTCACCTCTGCCCACTTCAGTCCCGACATTCAGCACACAACCTCCTGCGGTGAGGTCTCTGCTTGGATGTCCGTCCCCCCCCCCCCCCCCCCCCCCCCCC